TGACACCCACCAGGTTCCTGGAGAACGAGGGGGTGTAGTAACCTGTGAGGAACCCTGAGGGAGCCGCCGGACACGGGAGAGTGGTGGTGCTGCGAGGAACTACAGGTCCTATGGAGGGGCCAGCCAAGGCGACAGTGACTGGAGTGCGCAGTGGTGTGAGGTCAGTACAGTCGCGATATAAACAGTTGGATGCTCCAGAGTCTAAGGTGAAAGAAAGCTGTGCAGTCTGTGAGGTCACACCCGAGCCAGCGACAAAGGTTGTCGAGTGGTGGACCAAAACGCTCACGGTGGAGGTCGTCGAGTCGACGGTAGCAGCTGGACGCAGTGTGGTCAGGACTCCAGCAGGTAGTGCCAGCACCAGGGCCTGTCAGGGCCCGGTACCCGCAGGGGCCGACGTCTCGCCCACTGCTAGCTGAGCCACTGCTGGGGGCGCCACACTTTGGACCCGCACGCCCCCACTGACGGGAGTGCTGCGGCTGGCCCTGCTGCTGTAGAACCCTAGTACATGCCATGTGAGCCTATGCTGCTGCTGGTTCTGCTGGGGGCAGCCTAAGCTGCTGCTGGTGCGCTGGGGGCAGCCTGTGCTGCTTCTGGTTCTGCTGAGAGGCAGCCTAGGCTGCTACTGGTTCTCCAGGGGGCAGCCAATGCTGCTGCTAGTGCGCTGGCAGTTGCCTAAGCTGCTGCTGGTGCGCTGGCGGTAGCCTAAGCTGCTGCTGGTGCGCTGGGGGCAGCCTATGCTGCTGCTGGTTCGCTGGGGGCAGCCTATGCTGCTGCTGCTGGTGCTCTGGCGGCAGCCTATGCTGCTGCTGGTTCGCTGGGGGCAGCCTATGCTGCTTCTGGCTCTGCTGGGGGCAGCCTTAGCTGCTACTGGTTTTGCTGGGGGCAGCCAATGCTGCTGCTGGTGCGCTGGTGGCAGCCTATGCCGCTTCTGGTTCTGCTGGGGGCAGCCTACGCTGCTGCTGGTGCGCTGGGGGCAGCCTATGCTGCTGCTAGTGTGCTGGCGGCAGCCTATGCTGCTGCTGGTTCTGCTGGTTCTGCTGGTTCTGCTGGTTCTGCTGGTTCTGCTGGGGGCAGCCTACGTTGCTGCTGGTGCGCTGGGGGCAGCCTATGCTGCTGCTGGTGTAGCTGGCGGCAGTGTAATCGGCTGGGGCTACTGACGGCGGGTGTGGTAGATCGTGGGGAGGCAGGTTTCAGGTGGGGAAGCTGTTAAGGCAGCGGGCTACGGGTGAGGCGGCGGTTCTGTGCAGTTCTGTGCAGTTATGTGCAGTACTGTGCGGTTCTGTGAGGTTCAATGCGGTGGAGAGGACTGGGTGGGGCAGCTGATTCCGGGTGAGGTGCCTGGAACGGGTGGGGCAGCAGGTTTCCAGGTGGGGCGGCGGTTGTCAGGTCTGGGGCGGTGGTTTTCAGGTGGGGAAGCTGTTAAGGCGGCGGTTCTGTGCGGTTCTGTGCAGTTATGTGCAGTTCTGTGCAGTTCAATGCGGTGGAGAGGACTGGGTGGGGCGGCTGATCCCGGGTGAGGTGCCTGAAACGGGTGGGGCAGCAGGTTTCCAGGTGGGGCGGCGGTTGTCAGGTCTGGGGCGGCGGTTTTCAGGTGGGGAAGCTGTTAAGGCGGCGGTTCTGTGCGGTTCTGAGGGGGATTTCAGGTCTGGGGGCCGGTTACGACGGTGGGCTGCACATGCGCGCGGCTACGACGTACTAGCGCGGAGCTGCGGGTGCGACTAAGGCTGCGCGCGCAGCTACGTGCGTTCATCTGCTGCGCGCTAGAGGACTGGGGGGCAACACGCGGGGTAAAACGAGTGGGGCGCGTGGCTAAAAAAAAACGAGTGACGCTCGGCAAAAAACGGGTGGGGCGCAGGGCAGAAACGGGTGACGCGCGATGTCGACGGGGGGCGCGACCTACTCGGGCTCTACGGGGCAGGGCGCTTCGGGCTATGGGTCGCTACGAGGCGCGCGGGTGGTGGGCCCATAGACTATCGAGAGAAATTTCGCCTAAGGGAAAAATCGCCTAGGGGAAAAATCGCCTAAGGGAAACCTAGCTCTATACCATGTTACGATAAGAATGAATTGATAGAAAATGTGAAGTACAACCCTAGATATAGCAAACCCTAATCATGCAAGTAAGTAGAAATGTAACACCTAGACTAACCTAAACAACACATATAAAATATATGTTGACAGGTGCTAGACTAAGGGTAGCTGCAGCTCCTACACAAAGACTCTCAGAGGCGCCTGGACTGGAAACAACACACGGACCAAGACTGGAAACACGGGTCTCTACTTGTGCAGCCGGGAAAGGTCCCTGATGCAGCAGTGCACTGGCAAAGACGCGAGTGCCATTGCGGTGTAATAGCGTGAGGGCCAAAGCGCTCCCGGTGGAGGTCGTCAAGTTGACGGTAGCAGCTGGACACAGAGTGGTCAGGACTCCAGCAGGTAGTGCCAGCACCAGGGCCTGTCAGGGCCCGGTACCCAAAGGGGCCGACGTCTCGCCCACTGCTAGATGAGCCACTGCTGGGGGCGACACACTTTGGACCCGCAGGCCCCCACTGACGGGAGTGCTGCAGCTGGCCCTGCTGCTGTAGAGCCCTAGTACACGCCGTGTGAGCCTATGCTGCTGCTGGTTTTGCTGGGGGGGCAGCCGAAGCTGCTGCTGGTGTGCTGGCGGCAGGCTAAGTTGCTACTGGTGCGCTGGGGGCAGCCTATGCTGCTGCTGGTTCTGCTGGGGGGGGGGGGGGGGGGGGGGGGGGGAGGGTGGGGGCCAGTCTATGCTGCTGCTGGTGCTGGTGGGGGCAGCCTGTGCTGCTGCTGGTTCTGCTGGGGGCAGCCTAAGCTGCTGCTGGTGCGGTGGCGGTAGCCTAAGCTGCTGCTGGTGCGCTGGGGGCAGCCTATGCTGCTGGTGGTTCTGCTGGGGGCAGCCAAAGCTGCTGCTGGTGGTGCTCCTGGCGGTAGTCTAGGCTGCTGCTAGTGCGCTGGCGGCAGTGGGAGCTGCTGCTGGTGCTACTGGCGGCAGTGTAATCTGCTGGTGCTACTGGCGGCGGGTGTGGCAGCTCGTGGGGAGGCGGGTTTCAGGTGGGGCGGCTGTTAAGGCAGCGGGCGACGGGTGGGAAAGGTGAGGCGGCGGTTCTGTGCGGTTTTGTGCGGTTCTGCATGGTTCTCCGCGGTTCAATGAGGTTCAGCGCGGTTCTGTGCGGTTCTGTGCGGTTCTGTGCGGTGGAGAGTACTGGGTGGGGCGGCTGATTTTGGGTGAGGTGACTGGAACGGGTGGGGCAGCAGGTTTTCAGGTGGGGGGGCGGTTTTCAGGTCTGGGGCGGCGGTTTTCAGGTCTGGGACGGCGGGTTTAGGTCTTGGGGCATCGCTTGCAGGGGTAGGGCAGCGGGTTTCCAGGTGGGGCAGCGATTTTCAGGTCTGGGGCGGCGGTTTTCAGGGGTGGGGCGGCGGGTGTCAGGTGGTAAGTGGTTGTTAACAAGTCTGGGGGCGGTTAAGACAGCGAGCTGCATGTGCGCGCGGCTGTTGCTGCGCGTGCGTGCGGTCGCGATGTACTTGCGCGGAGCTGCGCGTGCGACTAAGGCTGCGCGCGCTGTTACGCACGTGCGTCTGCTGCGCGCTAGAGGGCTGGGGGGCAACGCGCGGGGTAAAACGAGTGGGGCGCGGGGCAGAAAACCAAGTGACGCACGGCGAAAACGGGTGGGGCGCAGGGCAGAAACGGGTGACGCGCGGTGGCGACGAGGGGCGCGGTCTACTCGGGCTCTACGGGGCAGAGCGCTTCAGGCTACGGGGCGCTACAAGGCGCGCGGGTGGTGGGCCCATAGGCTATCGAGAGAAATTTCGCCTAGGAAAAAATCTCCTAGCTCTATACCATGTTACCTTATGAAACTCACAAATAATTGATGTAAAATGTGAAGTACAACCCTAGATATAGCAAACCCTAATCATGCAAGGAGATAGAAATGTAACACCTAGACTAACCTAAACAACGCATATAACATATATGTTGACACCCACCAACCCCTCTCGCTCACGTCCCCCGCTCTTAGCTAGTAAACCTGCACCGTCCGGCCACGGCTAGTGGCGTTTTGCCCATGGCGTGCGCGGCCCATGGCGAGCACGCCGACGGACCTGCCAGCGAGCCCATCGATGGACCCGCCGACGATTCTGCCAACGGACCCGCCAGCGAGCTCGCAAGCGGACGAGCGAGCCCGCCTACGGATCCGCCGACGAACCCGCCGACGAACCCGCCGACGGACCTGCCAGCGAGCTCGCCAACGGACCCGCGAGCCCGCCAGCACGCGCGTCCGCAACGCCGACGGATGCGCCGACGAACCCGCCGACGAACCCGCCGACGAACCCGCCAGCGAGCTCGCCAACGGACCCGCGAGCCTGCTAGCAAGCGAGCCAGCGGACCCACCGACGGACCCGCCAGCAGACCCGCCAGTGCGCGCATCAGCAAGCCCGCCGACAGACCCGCCAGCAAGCAAGCCAACGGACCCGTAGACCCGCAAGCAGGAGAGCCAGCGGATCCGCGAGCTCGCAAGCAAGCGAGCCGACGGACCCGCCGTCGGACCCAGCACCAGGCACCAGCACTAGCGCCAGCCGTCAGCACAGGCACCAGCACCAGCGCCAGCCGCCAGCACCAGCTCCAGCGCCGTCACGCCAGCACCAGGCACCAGCGCCAGCCGCCAGCACCAGGCACCAGCACCAGCGCCGTCACGCCAGCACCACACACCAGCACCAGCGCCAGCCGCCAGCACCAAGCACCAGCACCAGCGCCAGCTGCCAGCACCAGGCACCAGCACCAGTGCCAGCCGCCAGCACCAGGCACCAGAACCGAAGCCAGTCACTTGCACCAGCACCAGCACCAGCGCCGTCACGCCAGCACCAGGCACCAGTACCAGCGCCAGCCGCAAGCACCAGCACCAGCTCCAGCGCCGTCACACCAGGCAACAGGACCAGCAGCCCCACCTGTGACCAGCAGCCCCACCTGTGACTAGCAGCCCCACCTGTGACTAGCAGCCCCACCTGTGACCAGCAGCCCCACCTGTGAAGGACTGTACAGGGACCATCGTGGGTGGGGAGGGGTCTGGAGGAAGAAAGGGGGGGAGGGAGTGCGGTTCTAGGGGGCGGTTGATATGGGGGGTGAGGTTAAAGGGGGTTGGTTGATTGGGGGTGGGGATGTGAGGGTTAGTAAGAGGGGACGCCGCGGCCACCCCCCCACCTCCTCTCCCCATCCCCCACTCAACCCCCCCTTCGGAAAAGGGGGTTAGTAAGAGGGGACGCCGCGGCCACCCCCCATCTCCTCTCCTCTCTCTCTCTCTCTCTCGCCTCCTCCTGCTCACTTACCTCTCTGCCGTCTTTCACTGCGCCTGCAATACCCCTTCAGGGGGTGTGAGTTGCTCTAGCTATGTGCTGCAGGCAGTTAAGGGGGTGTGTCGCGATATATAGTTACATATGTTTATAACTGCTTGTAGCTTTAGCTTTAGTGTAGTTATGTTTCCTTGCTGTTGGTGGTGCACTTTTGCTAGTTTGCTATATGTACCTTGTGTGCTATAGTGAACATCACACATTCTCGACATTTTCTCCTTGGTACAACCTCCTTGACACCCTCTTGGCCTAGGCTACTAAGCCTAGGCCCCTACCTAAACCCGGTTAGTCTAGTTAAGTTACTATCGTTACATATGCATGGTCGACGCACAGGTACAACAATTCGCGGGCTCCAGCCGCGCAAAATGATGCCGACTTGGCGGGACCTGCCGAGGGTGCTATGGGCAACGTGTGGCGAACGGACGGCGGGCGGGCGGCTAACGGGCGGCTACCGAGCGGCTAGCATGTGAAACCCTAAAACGAGCGAGCCAACGGGCGGCGAGCGCGCTACGGGCGGCTATCAAGCAACGAACGGGGCGTGCGGAGGTGGGCCCATGGGAACGGACTAAGCTCTATACCATGTCAAAGATAGAACTGGAAGAATGAATGAGTAGAAACAAGCAGTACAAGGGAGGATATAGCAAACCCTAAGGGGGTTATACCTCTACAGCATAACTCAATGTAACACCTAGACTAAACTAACAAACTATAACAATTATAGTTTGACACCTCCTGCTCCTGTACCTCTAGTACCTCTAGCTCCAGTACCTCCAGTACCTCCAGCTCCAGTACCTCCAGTACCTCCAGCTCCATTACCTCCAGTACCTCCAGTACCTCCAGCTCTAGTACCTATGGTACCTCCAGCTCCAGTGCCTCCAGTACCTCCAGCTCCAGTATCTCCAGTACCTCCAGCGGTAGCACCGCCAGCACCAGCACCTCCAGCTCCAGTACCTCCAGCTCCAGGACCTCCATCACCCGCGTCAGTAACCACAGGCTCAGCACCCCCAGACTAAGCACCCCCAAACTAAGCACCCCCAGGCTCAACACGACGCTGAGCCACCCACTCACGAAGCTGCTGCAGCGAGAGAGTCTCCCGCGGACGCGAACAGGCGGAAGACACGTGGTGAACACAAAGGAAAAATAAAACCACCCACCCACACACGTATCAATCCAAGAAAGGAGACAAAACAATTAACACACGCTTGCACATTTCAACGCGCCTGTTTCGAAAAGCATACCCCATAGGTGTAGAGCGGCGAGTTGAGCCAACTTGGGTGATGCAGGAGCACCAGAGTCTCGTCAGACGAGTCAGCTGCACCGGAAGACGCTTTCTTCTGCTGCTGCTGCTGCTGCTGCTGCTGCTGCTGCGGCTGCTGCTGCTGTTGCCCATCGTTTTGCTGCTGAGAGCCTTGCGGAGAGGAGAGCGCGCTGGGGCGAGGCAGCGGCCCCAGCACGTGGTTGAGTGCGGCGTGCGGCATGCCTGCGTCCGGCAGCCACAGCACGGCCAGCCGTAACGGAGCTTGCTGCGCTTGCTGTACTTCCTCTGTTCTTTGAGATTCCTGTGAGTCTTGGGAGGAGCTGCTGGGTTCGGCGGGGGAGAGCTTGGACGATAAGAGCTGGTGCAGCGCGTATCCCGCACACACAGCACGCCCAGGCTCAGCACCCCCAGAACCAGCACCTCCAGCGTCAGCACCCTCAGAGTCCACGCCTCCAGCGCCACCACCCCCATCAGCACCGAAGTCTACCGCGACAGGCTGCAGAGGCGGCGAAGACGGCCGAGAGACATGTCGGAGTCCAGCGTGAAGGTGTGCAAAGCCTCCATAGGAACTGCACCAGTGCTGGCCGAGTCACAAGCACCTACACTAACAGTCTCTACAATACTAGAGCTAGGCACACTTAAGTAATAGTCATCCTCAACATTAGTAGAAGCAGCATACATGGTATACATGCTAGCACAGATCTGGTCCCAATCAAGAGGAAACATGTCTACGTTCCTCTTGAGCAATCCTAACTAGTCAGGCTTCTTCAGCTGCTCACCAAACTCCTCGCGCCACGCGTCGTCGAGGCGGAAAAAACAGTGCGCTTCAGTGTGCCCCACCTGGCCGCAGACCTCTCCAGGGCGGCCCGTGCGCCGACGGTACTGGCAGCGAGCTCCACCACCCCCGCCACCTCGTTGGGCAACCCACTCACGAAGCTGTTGCGACGAGAGAGTCTCCTGCCGGCGCGATTTCCGCTGCTGCCCACCCCCAGAACCGCCACCTCCACCAGTTGCACCCCCAGACGCAGCTCACTGCCCTCCACTACCACTAGCTCCACCTCAACCACAACCCGAGCCCCCTCCTCCACCCCCAGTGCCTCCACCACCCCCACCACCTCCATTGCCCCCGCCACCTCCACCTCCACTGCCACCTCCACCGCCACCGCCACCACCCCCGCCACCGCCACCGCCACCGCCGCCACTACCTCCGCCACCCCCACCACCCTTACCCTTCTGACGCCCACTCTTGTTGCGCCTCCCGCTAGGAGCGGACGCTGCACCAGCCTCCTCGGCACCAAGGAAGTCAACTGCAACAGCAGAGGCAACTGAAGGCGCGAGGAGGGAAGGGGAACACCCCTCAAATAAGGAGGGGCGGGGAGTGTCACAGGATGCAGCTACAGTGTAGGCATTGGTCTCAGCCTCGAGGAGACAGGTCTCAAACGAGGCAAGGGTGATCTTGATGTAGTCTAGCGCGAGAAAGTGGTTGCGGATGGGGCGAAGGGAGTCGGGGAGATGGGTTTAGGGATCTCAGCCAGAAATTATGGCCAAGGGCAGCACGGTAGCGAGTGCCATTGGTGCGCAGGTGGGTCATGAGGTCAGTGACAATGGGGAAGTCAGACAGCCCAGGAAAGAGGTACAGGAGCAACAGGCGGCCTAGGGCGAGGGGGGGGAGTAGTGCTTCACTACAGTGTCATAGAGCGCTTTGGCCGTTTTCAGCTGGCAAAAGTGGGTCCTCTGGTCGGCCGGTAGGTGGTTGCGGACTGCAAGCGCAGCAGTGGCGTCGCGTGCTAACCACAGTGTACTAGCTACGCGGCCAGCCTTATACTTCTGTTGTGCGTCTACTGGCACCGTAGGGGCAGGCGCAGTTGGATTGAGTGGGGCCGGAAGGCTGAGGCGTGCTAAAAAAGAGAGACGTCGTCCCTCGTAACGCTAAGCATGTACAGGTGAAGGCCCTCTAGCCAGGACTCGTAATCGATCGGCCTACCCTCGGCGTCAAAATCCAGTACAGTAGGTGTTGCCATAGTGAGTAGCGCGGCCTAGCGACAGTAACGAAGAATGCAGTACTAGGAATCGCTAGGCCTAGTCCTCGCGAGTTTGCAGGGCTGCTCGGTAGGGCGCCTCGTCAGGGCGACTCGGTGGGGCGGATCGCCAAGGCGGCTCGGCAAGGGCAGCTCGGCAGGGTGGCTCGGCGGCGCAGCGGCTCGGTTCGGCAGGGCGGCTCGGCGCGTAGCAGCTCGGGCAGGGCGGACTGCAGCGCGAAGCAGCGAGGAGTGCAGTGCGGGCGGCCAGGCTGCAGCGCGGGCGGCAGGCTGCAGTGCGGGCGGTAGTAAGAGCAGTGGCGTGCGGGTTAGTCGTGGCATGCGGGGCAGCGCACGGGTAGGCACGGTGCGGCAGGGCAGTGCATGGGCAGGCGCGGCAGGGTAGCGCGTAGCAGGGCAGCGCGCAGCAGGGCAGCGCGCGGTAGGGCAGCACTAGGCAGGGCAGTGCGCGAGAGGGCAACGCGCAGCAGGGCAGCACGCGCTAGGAGGCGCGGCGTGCGTGGGGCAGTGGCAGGGCAGGTCGCGGCCTGCTAGGGTACGGGGCAAGGACTGCTACTGTTCGAGGCACGACCTACCGAGGCTAAGCTAAGGTAGGATCAAAATCCGGCTCTGAAACCATGTTGAAGTCAAGACAGCTGAATGAATTGCATTGACAGAAGTCTGGTACAAGTACCTAACTCTAAAAGGGTCATACCCTTTAGAAGGTGTCCCACTACAACCTACAAATGTATATATATCAATTTGACAGTATAATCTGGATCCGGGGACTGCAATGCGGGGTATTGCGAGACCGAATTTCACGGAGCCTAACGCACATCAATGCCGTAAATTCCGTTGTCGAACTGCCCCAGTCGTACTTTTGTTTGAAAAAAATCACCACGTTTCTCCCACCAGCTCTTTGCAGACATTTCACCAGTTGCTTGTCGTCCACAGGTAATTTCTAAGTTTCAGCTACACCTACGCTTCTTTTGAAGAATTTCTTGAGGTGTGTATTTCAGCACCAACCAGCGAGTCCTATGTGTCCTGGTTGAAGCTTTCCCGCCATGCCCCTTTTCACATAAGAGTGACCCTTCAGGCGAAGTTGTCAACGACTCAACCGGACTCAAAGAATTGCAGAAGCGCCCTCAACTCCATCTCATTATTATGTGGTTCACCCCCTGCCAAAGATATATTCGGTATACTTGTTTAACCTGTAGTGAGTTGCATGTTAGGGGGTACATGGATTCTCTCGATACTTTTTTTGTAACATGGTTTCAGAGAAGGACTTAGATCCTAGTAGGCTATGAACTGCCCGTTAGTAGGCCGCGCCCTGCCCTACCTTGCCCTACCCTGCACTGTCGCGTTGCCCTGCCCCACGCCTTGCCCTGCGCGCTGTCGCGCTGCTCTGCCCCATGCGCATTGCAGCCCTACGCTCTCCTGCCCCGCGCGCTACCACACAGTCCGCGCCCCTGCCCCATGCCCCGGTACCTCGCACGCGACAGCCCAGCAAGTCCCTGCTATGCGCTCCATTGCGCTGCCAGCCTCGCTTCCCCGTGCGCTCGTGCGCCACTTTACCACACGCCGCTCCCCCACGTGCTACTGCCCGGCGTGGGACTGCCCTGCATGCTCCAGCCCCGCACGAGGCTATCTCGCATGCCCCACTGCCCCGCGCGCCGCTGCGCCACACAACACTGCCCTGTACGGCCCTTTCCCTGCCCTGCCCCACTGCCGCTACAGATGCTGCAGCAACCGCTACAGCTGCGCGGCCCTACCCTGCCCTACTCTGCCCCAATCCTGATACAACTACTGCACCTGCTGCTACAGCTGCGCGGCCCTGGCCTTCCCTGCACTCACTGCCGCTACAGCTAGTGCAGCTGCCGCTATAGGTGCGCGGCCCTGCCCTGCCCTGCCCTGCGCCACTGCCGCTACAGCTGCCCCACTGCCGCTGTAGCTGCCCCGCTGCAGCTACAGCTGCTGCAGCCACCGCCGCTGCTGCCTACGACACAGCTGCAGCCACTGCTACAGCCGCTTACCCTGCCCCAGCTGCCGCCGCAACCGCCGCTGCCGCCCCTGCAGCCGCTGCCGCTGCTACAGCTGCTGTCAACGTGGTAATTGGATAATGAATTGATCGAAATGAGAAGCACAAAGCAGGATATATGCAAACCCTAGCCAACCCTAGCCAACCCTAAACATCAATCAACCACCTAGACTAGCAAATACAAACTATAACAATGATGGTTCGACACACCCCCATACTCTAGGTGACGGTAGTCTTGTAGAAGGCAACACACTGTCTAAAAGCAAGGGTCACAGGAGCAGTCAGCAAGAAAAAGCAACGGTCACAAGACCAGTTCACAAGAACAAAACAAATCTCGGGGTGGATCTCAAGATCACCACGTAGTCCAAGAAGCCACAAGGCCAGTCCACATGCAAGCATATAGCAAATATAGAAGATGCAAAAGTACAAGACATGCATGACAAGCATCTGTACAAAAACAAGGGGCCACAAGGCGAGTCCACAAGCAGAGGTATAGGATATATAGTGATATTCAAGAGTACAAGGCAAAGCATCTCTACGCAAGCAAGTGAGGTCCTGTAGACACAAGGCCTAACTGGGTGTAGAAACGCCAGTGGTCACAAGGTGGCAACGCCTTGGTGAACATATCTCCAGTATTGGCCTCAGAGACCAAACGTCGTACGAGTGCCTGGCCACGCTGCTGCAACTCTTGTAGAAGGAAGTAACAAAGCTGGATGTGCTTCGCCTTCCCAACCCGTCGGGGCCTTTCGCACAACACGATAGCATACCTGTTGTCGGCGAACAAGACTGGGGGAGAGCGAGGCCGCTCACCAAGTTCGGTGAGGAGGAAAGACAGGCAGTGAAGCTCTTGGGCGGCCATGGCCGTAGTGTACACCTCTACCTCACAGCCGGAACTGGAGATGGACGACGCCCGAGTCGACCTCCACAAAACAGCTATGGTCCCAAGGCTGACGCAATAACACTGTGTAGACCGCAACGACTCTGCGTCGTCGGCCCTCGACGAGTTCGAGAAACCTGTAAGTGTAACTGGCTGCTTCCCTCCAAGGACAAATCCCATGCTTGATGTACTCGCCACATACTTGGCCACCCCTCTTAGCAGCGTACCAGTAGGAAGGCCAGTGTCTCCCATGCGCAACAAAGTGCGCAAGAACGCTAAGAGGGTAA